TTGCTTATTTGGGGGTTTGGTGTGGAAATTCTTGAGATTCCTGCCCTCATGGCTCTGTGCGCACAGTCCTCATCCATGTGCATATCATGCTTGCTGTTCAAGGTGAACCGAAGGCTTCAAATATAAGGTTAAGATAATACCACTTCAAGGGGCTGCTTTCCACAAAACACCTTGAACTTCAATCAGTATAGATCTGGTTTTACTGGAATATCTTACATGTGTAAAAGTATATACTTTAGAAGGCGTTGCTAGGCTTTGTCTTTCTTTTACCCTTTCTGAAAACTTTAAAAAAACCTTTTACAAACTGTTCCCTTCTTTGTTCAAGGCTTTTCACTGTCACCGTGCTGGGATTTCATGCATACCAGATGATAATTGGGAAAGTGCCAAAACTCCAACGAACACTTGTTTTTGAGTACATAGTAATTGTTCTTGGAAGACTTATAGTTTTGGGTGAAGAAGGTGGTGGAATTTATGCATTATATTTGGCTTGCATGCACGCTATATTGTTTATGTACTTCAAGGATAAAAAAGACAGACTTAGCTTTCGTAATTTCACCTATGCACCCTTGCCAGCACTAGTTTTACAGAAGTCGCATGTCATTGCTTTTCAGCACTGGCTGGCATTTGATACAGCGCCGTATCACGTCTTCGAAATGTCTCAAAGTGCTTCACAGAATACACTGTAAAGTGAATTGTCTGTACATTTTGTAGGCGAAACGCGGCAGCCAATTGCGCACAGCAGCGTCCCCACAAACAGTCGTGGACTGAGTGACCAAATTTTTATTTATTTTTGGGGGGATCATTACCCCCGGAAAAGAGATCTGCCAATCGACTAACAACCAGGTTCCTAAACTTGCCCAACACTTTGCCCTGCCCGGGAATTAAACTTAGGTCCTCTCGCTTGCAACTCGCTACTCTAACCAATAAGATAGAGGACTTCAATTAGCACTATACATGCCCGCCGCATTTATTATGAGCTGTATAAAGCCTTTGATTGTCTTCTACTCGTGCTGTCTTTCTGCACATATCATCTGGAAACTTTGTAGGAATGAGTTGTCTCTTTAAGAACGTATTTCTCCTTCTTCATAACTCCTTGTCTTCTAAAATAATCAGAGACCTTACACTTAATATAGCATCACGTAAACAAAATACTTCAAAACGCTTCGAGATCTATTGTGAAGTATAGTGACTGTATTTGTAGGTGAATAAAGTCATGCACCTACAAAATATACAATCAATTCACTTTACAGTATATTTTGTGAAGCGCTTTGAGACGTCTCGAAGACGTGATAAGGCGCTATATCAAATGCAAGAATTTTTATAATATTTTTTATTTATTGCTAGTGTTAATGAATTGCATTCTCCCACCATGAGCTAAGCCGGATGCTCTGTGCTGAAATGTCTGGTTCTCTAAGCCTACTAGCTGGAGGCGTGGAATTTGTGCCAGTGGGTAGGTTTGTGACCTGTGACCTCACTGAGATAATAATCCTTGCATTTGCTTTTGATATAGCGCTTTACCATGTTGTTGAGGCGACTCAAAGCGCTTCACAGAATATATTGCGGTCGAAAATACTCCTCTACTGACACTTATTCTCTTGTCCTGAGGGAGATGGCTAACCACATGTAAAGTTTCAAAAGAGGCTGAGTTTCATTGACTTTTCTCTTGACCTATCCTTTCCCAGGATAATAACCATTTGCTAGGATATTAGTCTGAAGTGAAACTATTACTCAACCTTCGTTGGTGGTGTGGAGCTTGTTATTTTCTTGTCAGCATAGTCCGTCCTGTGACGCATCTGATCCACTTCTGCTCAGCCCTCAAATCACACAATTTTATTATAATTGCCCCTTGCTTCCTGCCTCCCTTGCAATCCTGGTATAAGTCCCTTCATGCCCCGGCACTCCCTACCTCTCCGATTTGCTTACTTCCCATTACTGAGTGCCTCCACTCAACTGACTCTGGCCTCCTGCATGTCCCTGGTGCCCTCCATTCCAACATCTGTGGCCATGCTTTCAGCCACTACGCCTCGAAACTCTGGAACATTCGCTATAACCCTTCTCCTTGCCCCTTCCTACTTCATCTTCAGATCACGCCTGAAGACATTCCCCTTCGACCGTGCTTACAGTCAATTCCCCTCTCCCCCGGCTCGGTGTTGTGTTCCATTACTGTTAAGTCCTCTGGGATGCTACCTTGCATGAGGGGCGCTATGTAAATGAAAGTTGGTGGTGAATCATCCATGTTATTCTCCGGGGGGGAAGAGAAGGGAGAGAGAGATCTGTCGATATCTTGCTAAAGCTGTTCTGATAATCAGCAAACGAGAAAAAAAATGATATCATTGCATTACCCAGAATTGCACTGCTGATGCATTGCAGAATGGCAGCTATGATTTCATCAGCCGTGTGTGTGTGTGTGTGTGTGTGTGTGTGTGCCCATCAGGTGATTTTTTAGGCTGTTTTGTAATTCAGTGATACAATTCTGCTTGGTCATGGCCTTGGATTTACAGTTTAAGGGAGATTTTTGTGTGTGAGTGTGTGTTTTTTCCTTTCTTGACAAATGCTGCCAAACAGCTCAGGCCACATCCAGTTTCACTGCACATTCCAGTCTTATCTGATACAAAAACAACTTTTGATGTTGTCCCTAATTGTTGAGTAATTATTGGCTGAGTTAGTCATAACGCACTGTATTCAGGCTCCAGCACAGACTCAGGGTTTCTGGGCTTGCTCAAGAGGGCATCTCACAGGCAAAAGAACACAGTGCTCAGCCAATTTCCCAACCCCTTCTTGAAGTTCTGTCATGAGAGTTGCTCTTTTAATAATAATAATAATAATAATCCTTGTATTTGACATAGCACCTTATCACATCTTCGAGACATTTCGAAGCACTTCACAGAATATACTGTTAAGTGAATTGACTGTATTTTCTGGGCGAAACGCAGCAGGCAATTAAGCACAGCAATGTCCCACAAACAGCCGTGGATTAAGTAACTCTATTTTTAGAGGGATTACTACCCTTGGAAAGCGATCAGCCAATTGACTAACAACTGGATTCCTTCTTATTGCTAGGTACCTACCGATACAGGACTCCACTTTTTTTTGTAAATATTATAGAGTGCTGTATACTATAGCTGTATTTAAACTAAATCCTCAATATACAGTCTCTAAGAAGGTCTTTCGGGGAAAAAATGCGACTGAAGAGACAGAAATAATGTCCCGACTGCGGTTAGATATTTTTTGCCAAAGTCATTTGTGGAATGCAAAACATGAGAGGAATGCCCACAAGTAGCTTGCAATGCCTTCAGGTCAGTCCCAGCATTACATTGGGTTTTATATTAAAACTGCGGGAGAGAAACCTTCCTTCACCACCAAAGTACCTAAGAGCATGTAACACTTACCTGCTCTAAGCTTTCCAAATCTGTGAGTTCCTCTCTGTCAGCCTCCAGTCACCTGCAGGATTCACTCTTAATGAATACCGCATTTTTAACCCTCTGTATCCTTAGTATTGAGTGAGAGCCTATTCTTGTGAAAGAAACCAAATACTGCACTGGAGTCCTATAGTGTAGTACTTAGCACACTGGCCTCGTAAGCAAAAAGTTTGATTCCCGGGCAGGGAGAAACCTTAGGCAAGTTTCCTTACTCCACGTGCCTCTGTTTACTTAGCAATAAGTAGGACCCCGGTTGTTAGTCGATTACCAGATCGCTTTTCCGGGGGATAATAATCCCTCCAAATAAATAAATAAATAAATAAATAATTTGGTCACTCAAAACATAACTGCTTATGGGACACCACTGTGCTGTCGCGTTTCGCAGACAAAATATACAGTCAATTCACTTACAGTATATTCTGTGAGGTGCTTTGCAAAGTCTCGAAAACTTGACAAGGCGTTATATCAAATACAAGGATTATTGTTATTATTATTGTAAACCTCCACAGTCTACTTCAACTAATAATAGTACTTCCTACTTTATGAGCACTTTGAAAGCCTGTACATGGCCGTGTACATTCAGGTGTCCACATGGCACAGTTGGTAACACTCTTGTTTCAAATCGGAAGATTATATGTTCAACATATGTTTGTGGGATGTGTGCAAACTGCTGCATTTGCCAACAGAAATGCATATTCACTCTACATTATATCCCGTGGATTGATTTGAGGCATTTTGACAATTTGAAAGGCACAATGTTAAATGCAAGGATTATTATCTATGCAGCGCTGTACAAGCACGGTGCAAATTATTCCATCTAGTTTCAATCTAAATATATTTTCAGTTTCGGTCCATTTAGTGACATTTACAAATGGGAGTAATTGTGTTAATTAGGACTTCTGGTTTGTAAATGGCAAATTGCTAATCTTTAAATCTGTTTTTCCCAACACCTCTGACATTTGTAGACCTTATCTTGTTCATATTTCTATTTTCGACTTCAACACCCTCCACAGCCTTGCTGCTTCCTACCTCTGTAACCTGCTAACGCTATAGCGACCTGTCCGTTCCATCTGCTCAGCATGATTGGTGGTCAGGCCTTCAGCCTCTCTGCCTCCACTCTTTGGAACTCCATCCCACAGTCCTTCGCCTTGCTCCTTCCTTGTCTTCTTCAAGGCCCTCCTCTTCGACAGCTCCTTCGGCCACCCTCCTATCCTCCCTGCCCTCCATCCCAATGCCCTGCTCGGGTCCAAATTCCTGACTGTCCAGCACCCTGTTCACCAACGTGAAGGGTGCTGTGTAAATATAATTTGTTGTTGTTCACTGCATCCATCTGTTTGATGAATTGTTTGTCAAGTGATAAAGACCCTATTGTTTTTTCGGATAGCCCTTGTACTGACAAGGACACAAGTGTTAAGTTTGCCCAATGTAGTCTGATAATTGGCTGTTGCACTTTGCTTGTAAGCGATGTCTGCTCAAGATATAAGCTCCCTAGAGATCAGACAAATGACATGGCCCAAGGCTACTGCCTGTAATGTCCGTGAACTGAATTAACCCTTTTTTTTTATTTGTTCTTCCGTAAAGGTTACTTGTGCGATTAAGATACAAGGAATCACTGTGTGAGGACACAACTTCATCACACCACTCTAATTCCACAGGTCAGTGCATAACCACATTGAACCAACAGGTGTGCGAACAGTATTAAGCGGGAAAACATAATTTTTAAAAAGCTCCAACGAACCAAATACTTCACAAAGCTTTTAACCAAAATTGACAGATCCCTAAAGAATAATAGCTTGTTGTACAGTGTACTTAATGAGGGAAATTTAAAAGCAGAAAACGCTCGCAGGTAAAACGAAAACGGCTGAAATAAATGGAAAGAGGAACACACCCAAACTGCTTGTGATATCATCCAAGTGTGCAGACCACATATTAATGTGGTTCCTCTGCTTTCCCTGTCTGTCAGTAACACTGCTGGATTGCATCCTGCTACTCTTTGGCACGCGAACAGGCAAAGTATGCTATCATATCAAATGAACTTGCCTTATTATAAAGCACTTTCATCACCCCACTGCATTTCAGTGTTTCACAAGTAATTTCTGACTAATTTTCAGCAAATGTGACGGTCGTTAGATAAGTTTCCGAACTCTACACGCTTCTGTTTACCTAGCAGTAAATAGGAACCAGGTTGTTAGCAGATTGCTTTCCTGAGGTAATAATCGCACCAAAAAAAAACATTTGGTCACTCAATCCACAACTGTTAGTGGGACACTGCTGTGCTCAATTGACTAACTTGTTCCGCCCATACAATACAGTCAATCAACATTACAGTATATTCTATGAAGCGCTTTGAGACATCTCAACAAAATGATAAGGTGTTACATCAAATGCAAAGAATATTATTATTATCTGCCTACAGCAAAGTCTCCCCCCCCCCCCCCCCCCACACACACACACCTTGAGATGAATGAATAATTCAGAGAATTATTGGCCTGGTTGCCCCACCTTACTCCGATCTTCCTCATTTTAAAACTTTCCAACTGTTTGAAACCAAAGTGTATCTATCGTGTCCTAATAGTGATAATCAAACTGCTCTGCGTGCAAACAAACGTTCAATGACGGGAACATTTCTTTTCAGGACCATTGTACATGTGGTATTCTCCACCAGACCTTTACATAATTGTGTCAGCACTACATGGTCAAATCCACGAATGTTTGTGAGACACTGCTTTGCGCAATTGTTTCACCCACAAAATATACAGTCTATTCACTTTACAGTATATTCTGTGAAATGCTTTGAGATGCATTGAAGACGTGGTATGGCGCTATATCAAATGCAAAGATTATTATTAATGTACCTTAGTCATGGGCTGAATTAAATGCAAATCTGGGTGAAAGAAAGTTTAATTCAGGTTAATTTTCTTAAAAGATAAAATCTCTGCTTTTGTAGTTTGCATCCTTTTCGCCTGTTGCTTTTGCTTTGAATGGTGCCATAAGTATTTCAATTAGCCAGAAGTCTGCTTCTTCCTCACTGCTGTGTAGGGAATGATACAAATACGAGATAAAGAGGATCTGGATTGAGTTGAAGGACCTTTTTCATCCTGTCTCAGCCTGCAGTTTTGCAGGAGACCTTTCAGCCTTGAATTGGTTCTGGCTTCTGAGTTGCTTAGATAAAATTGTCATCGCCTCTTCCTTTTTTTTGGTCAGCTGGATGTCTGACACACATGGAAACCCATCAAGCATGCTTAACAGTCTCCAAACCAAAAAGAGTTCCATGCATCCCACATACACATGCAAATCTCCGAGATAGATTGTTGGAATGCAATGCGCACTCTCTCCTGGAGAGATGCATCTGCTTAACTAATTCCGGAAAGTATTAGGTGCAAATTGGCAAAAGCCAAGGCTTGTGTGGTGGGGTAACTGCTGGAGTATTATCCAGTTTAAGACCGCATAGAGAGCACTAGCAGGCAAGCTTCCTACTGCTTGTCCAGCTCGGAAGGCCTTACCCAGCTCGGAAGGCCTTACCCGTTAGAGCTTTGGCTTGCAGGATTAACAGGAGCTGAGTGGGATGACTCTCTGCCCCAAGTGACTGGACTGCCCTTCTAAATGCTGAATACTGCAGCACTTCCTGGCTCATGAACTGGACCAGACTTGGCCACAGAGAGGTTGGCTCAATTCTGACATTCTGTGGCCAAACACGTCAACTAGAAGACAGTTCAGACCCCGCTTATCCCCCGCCCCACCCGCCCCAGAACGATAGTCACTGGTTGCTCTTTCCTTCCAGAGCAGGTGCTGTAAGCAACATAAGCGTGTTTTTGTAATGCAGGAGTAATCAAGCTAATTTGTATGATTTACGGGGCACTCTGCATTAAGCTCGAGTACAGGCCTCATTACACTTCCCTCAATTAATACATCATCGTGGGGGAAGTTGACTGTCGTCATAGATCCATAAAACCTATTTTGCTCACATTATCTGAGTCCTGCTCAGTGTTCAAAGTTCAAATTTAATTTCAACTCAGTGGAGCACTCTTACATGTGAACAATTTCTAAGCAGTAAATTCCTTTCCAGTAAGGAAGATAGTGGTGATTTAATTGGAGTGAATTCAGCAGGTGGCTTTAAAGTCTCCTGCTAGTGCCTGAAGGAGTAGGTAGCGACCCTGCGAGCCTTTAATTATCACAGCTGGAAGGATTATAACTACATGGCTTGGGGGACATGTACCTGCCGAGAGCTTTACTTTCATGCACCTCCAACAAGGTTGCGCAGCGCGTAGTTACTGTAGCTCGGAATGGCTTTGTTCTGTTGCTCGCTGGGTCTCTGGGCTGTGTTTCATCGGCTTAAACAGGCAGATGTTTAAATATTTATCTAGCGCCAACACTCGGAGCTTCACGTGTCTGTCCTTGTTAGTCAGAGGCAGATGCCATGTGAATCAGGAAACGTGCAGCTACTGCTCTTTGGCACACATTTAACCAGGCCCTCCGCCTAATTCCTATTTTACTCACTCTGAAGCTGGCTTAATCTTTACTGAAAATGCTCAAGAAATAGCTTAATTTCAAGATGTTTTGCAGTTTAATACTACTGTTTAATGAGCTGGTTACAGTGGGCAAGTGTGTCCCATGGAGCTTAAGCTTTGATCTTAAAGGGTAATATATAACTAAATGTTAAATGTATCATGCTGATGTGTTAAAGTACATTAAAAATTCTGCACAAGATCAAACCAGTGCTTTCTGCTGGAGGGTTCATGCAATTTCTTCTTACTTGGACTGTGCCTAATGTGAGTTTATTAAAGAGATACCGATATCCTGATAAAAGGGGGGGAGGGAAGAGAGAAAAAGTTCATCACTTTTGAACAAAGCTATTATGGTACGTTTATCATTGAATTGTCAGTTTGTCTCTCAAAATATTATCAAACCCAGTTATAAAACTCTGGAGTTGCAGTTCTTTCCAAGGAAAAAACCTTAGGCAAGTTTCCTTACATCACACACCTCTGTTTACCTAGCAGTAAGTAGGAACCTGGTTGTTAGTTGATCGCCGGATCGCTTTACGGAGGTATTAACCCCTTCGAAAAATAATAATAATAATTAGGTCACTCAAACCACAACTGTCTGTGGGACCCTGCTGTGTGCTGTGTGAACTTTGCGGTATATCAAATATTATTTTATAGTTGGTAGCTTCTGCTAATATAGGGTCGACTCTCTGATAATGTGTCCTAGATCCATAAAGGCTTACACCCTGTGTTAAAACACGGCAGGAGTAAAAGGCTGCTTTCCAGGTCACGTTGATGTCGATCTTCTTGTGTGTTATGGGCAGGAAGTGCCCATAGTCCTTGTTTCGCACAGCATGCCTGCGTGGTGCAGGGCAAAGTCATGGGTGGTGACATGACGACCTGAAATGTGGCCAGTTTCCAGACATGTCCCCAGAACACCCACGTCCCGGGGTCATCCTGTTTAAATCTCAAGGTGCTTTACACCAGCCAGACAGATTCTGGTTGATAATTCAGGTTGCGACCTTTATGAAGCAGAACTACCTGTACAGACTTGTATTAGTATCTTGATTTAATCGCAGAAATTCAGTGCTTTTTTTTAAACAAAAATCAATAGTTTTGTGCATGGCCTCAGTGCAACAATAAATGATATTTACACAGCGCCTTTCACGCTGGGAGGACTTCCCAAGGCGCTGGTCAGTCACGGATTTGCTCCCGAGCTGGGGGTTGGGAATCAGGAGAGGTGGAGGGTAGGGGTAAACAGCATATCCGAAGGGGGCAGTCACAGAGGAGGCTCTTGAGATGTGCCTTGAAGGAGGCAAGGTAGAGGATGAGGTGAAGGGACTGTGGAATGGAGGTCCAAAGGGTGGGGTAGAGAGGCTGAAGTCCCGATTGTGTAGTACTGCTAGACCATATTTCAAAAGACCATTTTGAACTCCAGAAGAGGAGTTGCCAACTTGCGTAGTTTTGAATTTTCCTGTCTCTGCACCTGAGTCATCCCGGCTTATAGAAAAACGTGAAAACCAGCGTGAGCCAGTTGCCATTGAACCTTGTATTGTTTGACCTGGTTATAAAGAGAATCTGGTCATTGGTACAGTTTTAGTTTTATACACAGTGAACTTTGCTCTATATGCTTCGCTGAAAGTGTACCCAATAAAAAAAACCTGCGACTCTGGGAGATTTATAGCTGGGTTGGATAACAATGAAATGATTTTCTTTCTAAATCTATATTTAGTCACCTGGGCTGTGCTGGAACCAGGTTGTAGAGCAGAATACTGTGCCAATTTGCAGTGTAGCAGCTGCCATATAATTTCCTTTAAACGACCAAGAAACAGAATGCCACACAACTGTTGTATAGCAGCAGTTGGGCAAAAGAAGATCAAGGTCCATCCAATTCGTCTTCCACCATCCTGGAACTTGCTTGACATGTCTTGTCCTAAACTATACAGTGTATCCCGAGATATAATTTCCAACAGAAATCTATCGAGTCTGTTCTTGCAACAATATAATAGTAATAATCCTTGCATTTGATATAAGACCTTATCACGTCTTCAAGACGTCTCAAAACGCTTTGCAGAAAATACTGTAAAGAGAATTGCCTGTATATTTTGTGGGAGAAACGCAGCAGCCAATTGTGCACAGCAGTGTCCCACAAACAGTCGTGGGTTGAGTATCCA